GTTCATGCATGTTCATATTTTCCAAGTGCATATCAAACCTGCAGTGAGAAAGAATGGATCAAAGTCGTGAACAAACCAAGGTTGGAAAGACAGAGCTAGGTGAACGATGTACACTTTACAATCTGGGGCTCTCCTTTGTTATTCCAGTTATGATTTTTGTGTAATGCTCAAGAAGTCCATCGTACCTTATGCAGTCTATCGGGTGTTGCTATTATAACAGCATCCGCAAACCTCTCTCTCTCCATGGCTACTTTCCAGTCTGAAGAAAAAGAGATTTAAAATAGCGAATCAACTAATGTCTGTAGCTGAGACAGCCTTTATGTTACAAAAGTGAGCAAGTATAAAAAAAGGAAAAATATTATTTCACATTAAAAAGAATAGAACAAACTATTTGTTACTACAGTGCAAGTTTTATATACACCTCTTGAATTAATTCTAGGCTCAATTCCAAGTAGTCTGTTACACTAAAACTGATGTGCACAAGTCCATGGGGCCGGACGAGTTGCATCCGAGAGTGCTGAAGGAATTGGCGGCTGTGATTGCAGAGCCATTGGCCATTATCTTTGAAAACTTGTGGCGAACCGAGGAAGTCCCGGATGACTGGAAAAAGGCTAATGTAGTGCCAATCTTTAAAAAAGGGAAGAAGGAGGATCCTGGGAACTACAGGTCAGTCAGCCTCACCTCAGTCCCCGGAAAAATCATGGAGCAGGTCCTCAAAGAATCAATCCTGAAGCACTTGCATGAGAGGAAAGTGATCAGGAACAGCCAGCATGGATTCACCAAGGGAAGGTCACACCTGACTAATCTAATCGCCTTTTATGATGAGATTACTGGTTCTGTGGATGAAGGGAAAGCAGTGGATGTATTGTTTCTTGACTTTAGCAAAGCTTTTGACACGGTCTCCCACAGTATTCTTGTCAGCAAGTTAAGGAAGTATGGGCTGGATGAATGCACTATAAGGTGGGTAGAAAGCTGGCTAGATTGTCGGGCTCAACGGGTAGTGATCAATGGCTCCACGTCTGGTTGGCAGCCGGTATCAAGTGGAGTGCCCCAAGGGTCGGTCCTGGGGCCGGTTTTGTTCAATATCTTCATAAATGATCTGGAGGATGGTGTGGATTGCACTCTCAGCAAATTTGCGGATGATACTAAACTGGGAGGAGTGGTAGATACGCTGGAGGGGAGGGATAGGATACAGAAGGACCTAGACAAATTGGAGGATTGGGCCAAAAGAAATCTGATGAGGTTCAATAAGGATAAGTGCAGGGTCCTGCACTTAGGACGGAAGAACCCAATGCACAGCTACAGACTAGGGACCGAATGGCTAGGCAGCAGTTCTGCGGAAAAGGACCTAGGGGTGACAGTGGACGAGAAGCTGGATATGAGCCAGCAGTGTGCCCTTGTTGCCAAGAAGGCCAATGGCATTTTGGGATGTATAAGTAGGGGCATAGCGAGCAGATCGAGGGACGTGATCGTTCCCCTCTGTTCGACATTGGTGAGGCCTCATCTGGAGTACTGTGTCCAGTTTTGGGCCCCACACTTCAAGAAGGATGTGGATAAATTGGAGAGAGTCCAGCGAAGGGCAACAAAAATGATTAGGGGTCTGGAACACATGACTTATGAGGAGAGGCTGAGGGAGCTGGGATTGTTTAGCCTGCAGAAGAGAAGAATGAGGGGGGGATTTGATAGCTGCTTTCAACTACCTGAAAGGGGGTTCCAAAGAGGATGGCTCTAGACTGTTCTCAATGGTAGCAGGTGACCGAAAGAGGAGTAATGGTCTCAAGTTGCAGTGGGGGAGGTTTAGATTGGATATTAGGAAAAACTTTTTCACTAAGAGGGTGGTGAAACACTGGAATGCGTTACCTAGGGAGGTGGTAGAATCTCCTTCCTTAGAGGTTTTTAAGGTCAGGCTTGACAAAGCCCTGGCTGGGATGATTTAACTGGGAATTGGTCCTGCTTCGAGCAGCGGGTTGGACTAGATGACCTTCTGGGGTCCCTTCCAACCCTGATATTCTATGATTCTATGATTCTGTAATTAAGGCTGAGACAGTATTTTAATGCCCCTCTGCATTCACTGAAGTCAATTAAAATAGAATGAGCCTAAGATCCTGTTTCAGATACTTAACTTTATGAAATAATTAACATGACACATTAAGGGACAAAAGGTTACAGCCCAAAGGAAATTTTTAGAAAGTCTGAATAAATGCTCTGAGCTCTTTTTAAAAATGTTTCACCACATTTCTAAAATGTTTCATTGTGACTTTCTAAAAGTCACAAAATAAAGGACAATTATATTAACGTGGAAAAACAATTATTTTATCAATCAAAACAAAGATTAATATATTTAAATATACACAAAGCCACTACATGCATGGCTTACTTAATTGCACAGTATCATGTCATACAGGATTACTCTGACATTGCTCTTTAAAGCAAGTGTATTAGACTGAAAAGCCAGTGATAGAATTAGTAACTGTAGGTAGTGGAAATATTCTTTTGCCTATCACTTTTGGAGGCAGATATTCCATTTATGGTATTTTTGTAACACAAATCCACCTCACTTCAGTGTTAGTTTTAGAGGGTTGTGATGATCTACAGTGACTTTTTCCATCTTTTGCACAAACTACTCCTTGTAGTTGATCTATGGAGTACTTGCCCCAGAACGAAATCTGTCCGGCAGTATTCCTGTTATTAGATCTTCACAGGAAGTTCAAAACCTGATACCTATACTACCTAAATTCATAGATGGCAACTCTTAATAGGGATGCAGAAAATAAAAGATGCGTATTAGCTAGTTTCTCCCTTATTTTTGCCAACCGTAGCTTTAATACCTTTATATTTTTGTATGTATTGACCCACTGGGCACCCCCAAAAATAGTATACTTTTGATAAGCAATTCAAAGTGTTCACTGTAGGCCTGTACTTAAATAAAATGGATTTTTAAGACGTGTTTAGATGCTTCTTTTCTACTTAACTTAAAACAACTTCACTTTAGAACTTAAAATTTGGCTTGTATGCAGCTCTTACTGAGAAATACCTATACATAATTTGCTATATTTGAAGACATTGCTAAACAGAATCAGATGCAGTGAACGTCACATAATGTGGATTCACACAGACTGCATGCACTCTTCCAGATGCACACTGAAATAGGCACAGTTGTGTTATTTCAAAGATCCAACCATCAAAAAAGTTTTTCCCCCTTATACTCCTAACTTCCGTCAGACATACTGAAATGCAGAAAGCCACAATAATCATTACTATGAAGTTCCCACCACTGCAGGTTTGCTTAAATCAAATTCCATCATTTTATCAAGATCTAAAGATTCCCTCACTAAGCAGATCCCAGCCTAAACTCACATACTTTCCTTCAAAACAATAGTTCACTATTTTTATTCAGTACAGTGGAACCCCAATTATCCAATCTTATCCAGATCAGATAACCAAAAATCCAGGTAAACCAGATAATGGCCACCAGGTGCTGACAGCCTGAGCCCCAGCCACTCGGGGGCTGACAGTGGTTGAGTTAATAAGGAGAGCCAGAAAATGGAGTACTCCTGGGGGAATTCTGTGCCACTGCACACACACAGAATTAATGTCCCCTGCAGATTTCTTTGCTTCCCTGCAGAAAAATTATTTCTGACAGGGAAGTAAATGGATGCCACAAGAGAGGTCATGCGCCCCTCCCTGGCAGCATAGGCACATCGTTCAGGCACCCGAAGCAGCTTGCAGAGACGGAAATCACCACTGGGTGTGTCGTGTGTGTACAGGGCTTGGCAGGCATGCATGAAGGAGGAGACATCAATCAATGCCGGGGAGGGTTAGGGGGGTTGGGCGTGTCAGTGAACGAGACTCTGTCCCTCTCGCTCGCTACTGCGGCACACCCGGTACGGGAGGCAGGGCTTTGGGGATATTTCTGAGGCGGTAAGCATGAGGCAGGCACTGTCAGAGCAGAATATAGCAGCCTGCCTGCTTAGTGAATTCCCCCAGGAATATAAAACAGGTGTAAAAGATTTAAAGGTCCTTAACATTGCCAGAGTGGTGTAAAGGAGCTTTTATTGTAAACGACAGTATAGCCTTATAAATGCTTTAGTCAATATAAATGGTATAAATTTTTGAACTGAAAAACGTTCTTATCAAAATGTGCTCCATGAACTGTTTACTATTGACCTTTTTGGCAATGGTGAGTAGCCAATATAAATTTTGATTCTAAAGCCCTCACTTGCACTTCAGTTGCCTATGATATAATTCTGAGCATATGGCTGCACATATTTATTGACTAATAACTAGGAACAAAACTAGCTACATTACTATTAGACAAAGGCAATTTGGAGATTTCCTCCAGTGCTCTCCACTCCTATTCTCCATCTATCGTATTGTAGTTTAAAAAAATTACCAAAATAATTGAAACTCGCGTGATTATATTGCGTTATTTTGACAAATAAAATATGCAGAATTTTAAAATGTGTGCAGAATTTTTAATTTTTTGGTGCAGAATTTTCCCAGGAGTAAATGGAGACTCAGTGAAGCAGGGGTCTACTGTATTTAAAAGGGTTTAGATGTCAGTGGTAGACATCACATTATGGGTTTTATTATTGTTCTCACAGCAAAAACATTTAGCTATTACTGTAGAATAAAATGTCACAAAAGGAAGACTTGAGCAGATTACCTAAATATGGCAATAGTGGTTGTTTCTATGATCCACTATAAGTAATTTTGCTCTAACATGTACAGTCACCAAGGGAACATCATCCTTCTGAAGATGAGAAGTTATAGTTTTTTTAAACCATGTCAAGACTGCTCAAAGCCCTGAATGGGCATTTTTTGATTTTTTTTTAAAAATACAAAATAAAATTATATTCCATAAATACAAACCCCAGATGTATGTCCTAAAAGGCTCCCCATATAAACTAATATTAGTGTTTGGATATATAGAAATATATTTCATTAATTTAGTCTTTCATAATATGGCTTATAGAACAAGACAGTGAGGCAAATATTACCATTAAATACATTTTTCTTGTCAATGCAGTGAATCTTCTGAAGGTCATTTCTAGCAAAAGCATGAGGATCTGCAACTCCAACTACCTAAAAAAAGAAGAACATTGTTATGTTCTGCAAAGGGCTGTGGGAGAGTCAATACCAGAAAAATGTTAACAAAAGAATTCAGAGAACAGCAACAAAGTGATTAGGCAGATGAAGACATTGACTAAGGTGAAAATATTCCAGGAACTAAGTACAACCTGGTTTAACAGCTATATGGGAAGAGGATAATCATTTACAAGTAAAATAGGGTTTACACATAAAGGAGGAAGACGAATTATTTAGGACAGCATAATTAAGATTACATACAAAAAGCCAAGTTCGTGGTTATAAAGTTAAACACCCAAAAGTTAGTAAATGCCAGATTTACAGTCACCCATGAAACCTTAATTTGGCTCCCCTATGCATCTATCTTGTGCAGTGGTTACTCCTGGGGGAATTCTGTGCCAAAAATTTAAAAATTATGTACATAATATTTGAAAATTCTGCAAAAGTCTGCATATCTTATTTGTGAAAATAACACAATATAATCATGCCAGTTTCAATTATTTTGGTAATTTATTTCTAAATATCTGTCAGCAAGTATGTCTGTAACAATACAGACACCCCCCCCACAAAAAAAAGATTTTGGTAATTTTTTTTTTTTAACAAATAGATTCCTTTCTAGACATATTAATACAGAACTTTGTGTAATTCATTTAAATTACAATACAGAACTGTATTTCCTGCACCTGTCAGAAGCAGTGAAAAGGCTTGGGGGAGTCAGAGGGAGGAGCAGAGGGAGGGGGAAGGAGCCTAGGAGTGAACCTAGCGGGTGTTGGGTGTGATGGGTGTTTGGGGGGATGGAGGCTGGGATTGTTGGGGAGTTGGGAAGTCTCCCCCATGCAGATCCTGGCTGACCTCAAGCCTCTCCCATTCAGTCAGCCACGTCTGCCCTTGTCCCTGCACCCCCATCGGTCTCAGCAGCCCTCCCCGCCCCATCCCCAGGCTCAACGCTGTCAGCCCACTAGCTCCTGAGCCCATTCCCCAGTCTGTCCCCCCCCCCAGCTATTCCAAACCCCAGTCTGTGATCCCCCAGCAGTCCTGTGTTCCCCACTCTGCCCTAACCTGGTTCCGCAGGCAGGGTGCTGTGATCAACTTCTACTCCTGAAGGAATTCTGCACCATTGAGCATAGAATTTTGTATTTTCCTGCATAAAATATATTTTGCCTAAGAAGTGCTGCAGTCCTGCCTTTTGCCCACCAGAAGCTGCTCTGGCACCAGACCAGCCAGCATGAATGCAGCCAGCTGTTCGGCTCCACAATGGCTTCTGGTGGGCAAAAGGCAAAACTGCAGCACTTCTGAGGTAAAATGTACTTTATGCAGGAAAATACACAATTATATGAGACAGAGGAATTCTGCATGTCCGCTGATGCGCAGAATTCCCTCAGGAGTAAGTGATGGAGACAGGTATCCTACGATAATAGCGTGCTATCATCGTAGTTAAAGATCAGAAGCATACACACAAGGGGGACAAATGAAGGTTGCCGAGGCAGCCATAGGCCTGGGATTTTTTTAACATCTGAGCGCATAACTTGGCAACCTAAAGAGTTCCCTCCTTCCCTGTATGTAAATACATAAGGTATTTTTAAAAGGTAAAAACAAATTCTGTTATGTACAACTGCATAATCATCAATAGGATTTGAACCCTGAACCTTAGCCACCCCACTCTCCTATGCATCCGATGAAGTGAACTGTAGCTCACGAAAGCTTATGCTCAAATAAATTGGTTAGTCTCTAAGGTGCCACAAGTACTCCTTTTCTTTTTGCGAATACAGACTAACACGGCTGTTACTCTGAAACCTGTCAGAGTACACTTATAAACTTTGCAGATGATACCAAGCTGGGAGGGGTTGCAAGTGCTTTGGAGGACAGGATTAAAATTCAAAATGATCTGGACAAACTGGAGAAATGGTCTGAAGTAAATAGGATGAAATTCAATAAGGATAAATGCAAAGTACTCCATTTCAGAGGGAACAATCAGTTGCACACATACAAAATGGGAAATGACTGCCTAGGGAGGAGTACCGCGGAAAGGGATCTGGGGCTCACAGTGGACCACAAGCTAAATATGAGTCAACAATGTGACACTGTTACAAAAAAAGCAAACATCTTTCTGGCATGTAATAGCAGGAGTGTTGTAAGCAAGACACGAGAAGTAATTCTTCTGCTCTACTCCATGCTGATTAGGCCTCAACTGGAGTATTGTGTCCACTTCTAGGCACCACATTTCAGGAAGGATGTGGACAAATTGGAGAGAGCCCAGAGAAGTGGAACAAAAATGATTAAAGGTCTAGAAAACATGACCTATGAGGGAAGATTGAAAAAATTGGGCTTGTTTATTCTGGAAAAGACAAGACTGAGAGGGGACATGGTAACAGTCTTCAAGTATGTAAAAGCTTGTTACAAGGAGGAGGAAGAAAATTTGTTTTTCTTAACCTCTGATGATAGGACAAGAAACAATGGGCTTAAATTGCAGCAAGGGAGGTTAGGTTGGACATTAGGAAACACTTCCTAACTGTCAGGGTGGTTAAGCACTGGAATAAATTGTCTAGGGAGATTGTTGAATCTCCATCATTGGAGATTTTTAAGAGCAGGTGTCAAGGTTCCTTCCCCACTCTGAACTCTAGGGTACAGATGTGGGGACCTGCATGAAAACCTCCTAAGCTTACTTTTACCAGCTTAGGTTAAAACTTCCCCAAGGTACAAACTATTTTACCTTTTGTCCTTGGACTTTCGCTGCCACCACCAAACGTCTAACCAGTTTTATTTTATTAGGAAAGAGCCATTTCGAAACGTCTTTCCCCCCAAAATCCTTACCAAAACCTTGCACCCCCCTTCCTGGGGAAGGTTTGATAAAAATCCTCACCAATTTGCCTAGGTGACCACAGACCCAAACTCTTGGATCTTAAGAACAATGAAAAAAGCATTCAGTTTCTTAAAAAAAGAATTTTAATCGAAGAAAAAGTAAAAAGAATCACCTCTGTAAAATCAGGATGAAATACCTTACATGAGGTATGAGGGGAAAGCAGCGGACGTGTTGTTCCTTGACTTTAGCAAAGCTTTTGACACGTCTCCCACAGTATTCTTGCCAGCAACCTAAAGAAGTATGGGCTGGATGAATGGACTATAAGGTGGATAGAAAGTGGGCTAGATTGTTGGGCTCAACGGGTAGTGATCAATGGCTCCATGTCTAGTTGGCAGCCAGTATCAAGTGGAGTGCCCCAAGGGTCGGTCCTCTGGCCGGTTTTGTTCAATATCTTCATTAATGATCTGGAGGATGGTGTGGATTGCACCCTCAGCAAGTTTGCAGATGACACTAAACTGGGAGGAGAGGTAGATATGCTGGAGGGTAGGGATAGGATACAGAGGGCCCTAGACAAATGAGAGGATTGGGCCAAAAGAAACCTGATGAGGTTCAACAAGGACAAGTGCAGAGTCCTGCACTTAGGACGGAAGAATCCCATGCACCGCTACAGACTAGGGACCGAATGGCTCGGCAGCAGTTCTGCAGAAAAGGACCTAGGGGTTACAGTGGACTAGAAGCTGGATAGGAGTCAACAGTGTGCCCTTGTTGCCAAGAAGGCCAATGGCATTTTGGGATGTATAAGTAGGGGCATTGCCAGCAGATCGAGGGACGAGATCGTTCCCCTCTGTTCAGCATTGGTGAGGCCTCCTCTGGAGTACTGTGTCCAGTTTTGGGTCCCACACTATAAGAAGGATGTGGAAAAATTGGAAAGAGTCCAGCAGAGGGCACCAAAAATGATTAGGGGGCTGGAATACATGATTTATGAGGAGAGACTGAGGGAACTGGGGATGTTTAGTCTGCAGAAGAGAAGAATGAGGGGGGATTTGATAGCTGCTTTCAACTACTGGAAAGGGAGTTGAAAGGGAGTTTAAAGAGGATGGATCTAGACTGTTCTTAGTGGTAGCTGATGACAGAACAAGGAGTAATGGTCTCAAGTTGCAGTGGGGGAGGTTTAGGTTGTATATTAGGAAAAACTTTTTCACTAGGAGGGTAGTGAAACACTGGAATGCGTTACCTAGGGAGGTGGTGGAATCTCCTACCTTAGATATTTTTAAGGTCAGGCTTGACAAAGCCCTGGCTGGGACGATTTAGTTAGGGATTGGTCCTGCTTTGAGCAGGGGGTTGGACTAGATGACCTCCTGAGGTCCCTTCCAACCCTGATATTCTATGATTCTACAGGGTAATTAGATCCAAAACATAGAGAATCCCTCTAGGCAAAACCTTAAGTTACAAAAAGACACAAAACCAGGACTATACATTCCATTCAGCACAGCTTATTTTCTCAGCCATTTAAAGAAATCAGAATCTAAGGCATATCTAGCTAGATTACTTACTAAGTTCTAAGACTCCATTCCTGTTCTGTCCCCAGCAAAAGCATCACACAGACAGACCCAGACCCTTTGTTTCTCCCCCCCTCCAGCTTTGAAAGTATCTTGTCTCTTCATTGGTCATTTTGGTCAGGTGCCAGCGAGGTTATCCTAGCTTCTTAACCCTTTACAGGTGAAAGGGCTTTTCCCCTGGCCAGGAGGGATTTTAAAGGTGTTTACCCTTCCCTTTATATTTATGACAGCAGGTTAGACAAACACCTGTCAGGAGTGGTCTAGATAATACTTAGTCCTGCCACGAGTGCAGGGAACTAGATGACCTCTTAAGGTCCTTTCCAGTTCTATGATTCGATGGGCCACCGGAGTGAACCCTGAGAACGAGGTGTTGGAGGAGGAAGTAGGAGGAAGAGAATGGAATACAGGCAACCGGGGGATCCAGTGTTGCAGTGAGCCAGGACCTCTTTTTGACTCCAGAGCATTTGAGCCAGTCCATACAGTCCAGCACAAGTAAGCCTGAGGCAGGGAAAGGAACAGCTGCTAAGTGTGCCATTTGCTTTGATATTGCAGGGACACATCTGTTCATTTACCCTTTTTTAATCATGTTAAAAGAGGTAGTGAAATAACCAATTGAGGTAGAGTCTTGATCTGCTTCTCACTTCCCTGTATAGCTAGGCACAAGGTGTGATGCTGTATGGGATCTGGGGGACACTTTAGGATATTATTCATACCAATATTATAAAATTGCAATGAGTTATGCCAGATATGCCATGTAAAATATCTGCAAAAATGTTATAATTTGCCAGATATGAGAATCTCATTTATGTGTTTGTATCACCTTTGTATTTTGGGTTACAGATAAGTATGTATGTCTGTATTACAAAACTTGTGCTATGCTTCTGGGTGATAGCCCCAGGCAGTTTGGCAGCAGCACTGCCTAGCTTGCTTGATAGCCCATTAAGGACCATCAGTTTATACAACTGACCCATTGAGAGAAGGCAGATACCCTTATGACTCAGCAAGGCATGCAGGGACCTGCTGATGGACAGAACTCTAAGGCTTTCAAGCCATGTGCTAGGCAGCTTGTGTTTAAAACAAAGGAAGCACAGGCCGCATGGCAAAAGACTATAAAAGGCAGCTGCATCTTCTCCATTTTGTCTTTGTTCCTGCTTCTTACCTCTTCTACAAACTGAAGCTCTGAACAAAGAACCAAGTCGTGGATGTGTTCCAGAGGGACTTTCAAGCCAGCAAACTCACCAATACTGCTAGGAACCTGACACAAAGCCTTCAAAGTGCATGTATGTATGTGACTGTTTTACCATTTAACAACTCTCTTCTTGTTATTTTTTCTTTATAATAAACCTTTAGTTTTAGACACTAAAGGATTGGTTGGCAGCATAGTATTTTGAGTAAGCTCCAAAACCTATACTGACCTGGTAATGTGTCTGACCCTTTGGGGTCAGAAGAACATTTTGTATATGTGTACAGAGTTTAAAATAACTTCTCGCTGTACTGGACCCTAGGTGCTGACTTGGAGCCAGAAAACTGGAATGCAATAAAGGGGTGTCAAGGTTCCTTCCCCACTCTGAACTCTAGGGTACAGATGTGGGGACCTGCATGAAAACCCCCTAAGCTTATTTTTACCAGCTTAGGTTAAAACTTCCCCAAGGTACAAACTATTTTACCTTTTGCCCTTGGAGTTTTTTGCTGCCACCACCAAGCATTTAACAAATATATAACAGGGAAAGAGCCCGCTGGGAAACGTCTTTCCCCCCAAAATCCTCCCCAAACCCTACACCCCCTTTCTTGGGGAAGGCTTCATAAAAATCCTCACCAATTTGCATAAGTGAACACAGACCCAAAACCCTTAGATCTTAAGAACAATGAAAAAGCAATCAGGTTCTTAAAAGAAGAATTTTAATAGAAGAAAAAGTAAAAAGAATCACCCCTGTAAAATCAGGATGGTAAATACCTTACAGGATAATTAGATTCAACACACACAGAATCCCTCTAGGCAAAACCTTAAGTTACAAAAAGACACAAAAACAGGAATATACATTCCATTCAGCACAGCTTATTTTCTCAGCCATTTAAAGAAATCAGAATCTAACACATACCTAGCTAGATTACTTACTAAGGTCTAAGACTCCATTCCTTTTCTGTTCCCGGCAAAAGCATCATACAGAGAGAATCTTTGTTTCTCCCCCCCTCCAGCTTTGAAAATATCTTGTCTCTTCATTGGTCATTTTGGTCAGGTGCCAGCGAGGTTATCCTAACTTCTTAACCCTTTACAGGTGAAAGGGTTTTTCCTCTGGCCAGGAGGGATTTTAAAGGTGTTTACCCTTCCCTTTATATTTATGACAAGGGCGCTGTGCGGTTTCTTTTTTGCTTCTTGATAACCAGTGTGAGGGATCGGAAGCACAGTTTGTGTGACTGGTTGGGAAGTTTAACTTCAGTGTTACCCACCAGTCTTGGGAGTATCTGCTCTCCCTTTTGCAGCCTGCCCTAACCTTAGCATTTCCAGTGAGGGCTACCCCAGGCCACAGAGAGATCCCTGTGGAACAGTTTGTATGTGCACTCGGATGTCCCGTGAATCCTCCATAGAGATCTCGAGGAAACTTTCCCAGAGGTAGTCTGCAATCCTCTGCCAAAGGTTCCTGGGGAGAGCAGCCTTATTTCTTCCGCAGTGGTGGGACACTTTCCCAAGCCACTCAGCAATTAATTCAGCAGGGATCATTGCAGCACACAGACTAGCAGCATATGGACCTGGTCTGCAGCCACACGGTGCAGGAGCTGTTCCGTTTCAGCTTCCGTGCCCTTAAGAGTGAGATACCAGCTAAAGTCACCACTGCCTGTGGAAAACGGTGCCAGTATTCAATGCAATTGCCCTATCCACATATACTCATGCCTGTGATTTCCCCCCTTATTGTGCCATCTTGCCCCCTACCCTCTGGGCCGTACTCACCAGGGCTGGGACTGCCGCTGTGCTCTATGAATCCTAAGCAGAAGAAAATATAGTGCTTGTAAATCTTGTGGCTCAAGGGGAGTGAATACACTCACAACAGTACTTCTGTGTATTGTAGCTAGGGCTGTCAATTAATCACAGTTAACTCACGCAATTAACTCAAAAAATTAATCGCAATTAACCGCACTTATAGCAACAGGATACCAATTGCAATTTATTATATATTTTTTGATAATTTTCAATACTGATTTCAATTACAACACAGAATACAAAGTGCAGAGTGCTCACTTTATACTATTATTTTTATTACAAATATTTGCACTGTAAAAATGATAAAAGAATTGTATTTTTCAATTCACTGCAGACAAGTACTGAACTGCAATCTCTTAACCAACCATGGAAGACATTCTTCTAGTACACAAAGAGTTGTCATTGCTGTCTGAGTGTATGTCTATGTTGCAATTAAACACCCATAGCTGGCCCATGTCATCTGACTCACGCTCAGGCTCCAGGGCTTTTTAACTGCGGTGTAGATGTTCAATCTCAGTCTGGAGTCCGGGCTCTGAGACCCCGCAAGGTGCGGAGGCAAAAGCCATAGTCACAAACTCTTGCTGATCCTCCTGAGGCTTACATTTGCACTGGTTATTCCACTGGAGCAAACCAAGTCATCACAGGACTAACAGGATCCTCCAGCTTATTTTAGTAATACACAAAAGGCCAAGCATCTTATCCATTACCAGAATACAGGTGGCAATTGTCTTATTAGCAACTGACTGTACGTTAAACAGCTTGTGTCGAAGGTTAGGGTCTCCTCTGCATGCCATTGCCCCCTCCCAAACAAGTGATTAGCAAGATCAGTGGGACATTCTAAGTAAGATTAGCAAGCGCCACACCTTGAAAATAGCCACAGTCCTGGCAGGAAGAGCGAACAACTACAGGCATCTTGCTGCACAGGAGAATCCTGTGCCATGGTCACTCCACCACCACTCACTGCTGTCAGCACTGATCAGAAGTGGACAGCACAGCAAAAACTAAGTGCAGGAAATCTCATTCTCATAGTAGCATGACAGAGGGGGGCAGTTTGGCATTTGTATAACAAAGTTTGGTTTACTGACACAGTTAAACTGAAGAGGGTACGATGGCAGAGTAGGCTCCTGATGTGTCTAACAAGGAGCTGGGATTAGAACTCTGCTCCTCAATGTCCTTGATTATCACAACCTCTATTGCTACTTTAAAGGGATATGAGGATAATTACACCACTGCTAGCTGTTGGAAAGGGTGCTCTCAGATCCACCGGCCAAAACCCGCATGTCCTATATCACGGACTAATGCGGTGCTGTGGGCACGGCCCAGACTTTGGCCTTTAAGTCTTAAATTTGCTGTTGACTTAGTCAAGAGCTTCTTTAGACTGTGCTCAATGTAATTTAATAGTTGGAGAATATGATGTCAAGCATTTTTCTAGTAGTGCAACTGAACACCAGCTCTGTGTCCCTTGTTCTTTTTCTCCTTCACTAATTGCTCACTTGCAGTCGGACCTATAACTGCTGCAGGTAAGTACAAATGCCCAAAGGGGACTTGTTTTTTTAGCAAGTGTGATCTAAATCAAACCACCTCTCTCATGTAGGATAGTGAAAGAGGAGGGAAGAGAGTCCAGCTTCAAAAGAGAGTTTTGTCAGATTGCTCGTAAATGCTCCAGCTTAACCTTCTCTAAAAAGAGGCTACGGTTCCCCAGCAGCGCATGCATGCACAGGTGCTCTACCTGCAATTCTGAACTTTAAACTTAAGGAAAAAACAACGAAGTGCTCACACTCAATACAGCACTTTCAGAAGCTAAATACAGTAGTTGAAAATCATCACTTTTCTAACACAATGCATTGCGAATGCTCTGTTTGAAATTTAAAATTCCTGCTGTTATGAGTTATGAACCAATAAAACAATAAGATATCAGGAAAAGATCTGTTTTCTCATTAACAACTTTCAAACACTTAAAGTAATTTACCTCACGTTTTATATGGTGATCGCTGCAATTCAAGACCTCTGCTCAAATTAACAACCATAAAACACATGACCCCTTGAAAAATGTTGACAGCATAGGACATCTTTACCTTCATTCGATTGGGAAAATGCACAGCAAAATAAGAGTAGTGTTTTCCCCGGCATCCAGCTCCAATGATCAGAACAGTTACACAAGGAGCCATCTCTGCTCAGTCATCTACCTGGAACTAGAAATAAGACAATGTTTTAGAATCATCTAGGTTAAAAATCCCACCAATATTAGGTGTACTTATTTTTATTATGATTAAGTAAGGCTGATGTCAGTACTATCAGATATAAACCTATAGAGCATGAATTCTCAGAAACGCCCTCCCCACCGCCCCACAGATGCTTCCTTTTCCCTCCCTCTCTCACCGCACATTTTGTTTCCTTCTTCCTCAGGCAAGCTGAAGTTTAAGGTCACAAAGTTATACACTAAAAAGTTAGGAAGTACAAGAATTGAAGTTACGCATGGAACCTACATTCCATTGCTTCGTATGCATGCATTAGGATATCTCTGTTATCATCAATGCCTAGCTGATTTAGAAACTTACGTCTCTCATTTTGACAGTCAATAGGATTTGACAGGTTTCAGAGTAACAGCCGTGTTAGTTTGTATCCACAAAAAGAAAAGGAGTACTTCTGGCACCTTAGAGACTAACCAATTTATTTGAGCATGAGCTTTCGTGAGCTACAGCTCACTTCATCGGATGCATACCGTGGAAACTGCAGCAGACTTTATATATACACAGAGAATATGAAACAATACCTCCTCCCACCCCACTGTCCTGCTGGTAATAGCTTATCTAAAGTGATCAACAGGTGGGCCTGTGTGAGAGCAGAGAACAGAACCCGGATCTCCTAAGCCCGAGGCCAACACCTACCCGTGAGGGGGACGGGGGGGGTCAGAGACCCGCCCCCCGGGCCGGCAGCCCCGTGAGGGGGACGGGGGGGTCGGAGACCCGCCCCCCGGGCCGGCAGCCCCGTGAGGGGGACGGGGGGGTCGGAGACCCGCCCCCCGGGCCGGCAGCCCCGTGAGGGGGACGGGGGGTCGGAGACCCGCCCTCGGGCGGCAGCCCCGTGAGGGGGGGACGGAGGGGTCGGAGCCCGCCCCCGGGCGGCAGCCCGTGGGGGGGATGGGGGGGAACGGGGGGTCAGAGACCCGCCCCCGGGCCGGCAGCCCCGTGAGGGGGATGGGGGGGAACGGGGGGGTCGGAGACCCGCCCCCGGGCCGGCAGCCCCGTGAGGGGGGGCACGGAGGGGTCGGAGACCCGCCCCCCGGGCCGGCAGCCCCGTGGGGGGGATGGGGGGGAACGGGGGGGTCAGAGACCCGCCCCCCGGGCCGGCAGCCCCGTGAGGGGGATGGGGGGGAACGGGGGGGTCGGAGACCCGCCCCCCGGGCCGGCAGCCCCGTGAGGGGGACGGGGGGCGGGGGTCGGAGACCCGCCCCCCGGGCCGGCAGCCCCGTGGGGGGGGGGCGGGGGGGTCGGAGACCCGCCCCCCGGGCCGGCAGCCCCGTGAGGGGGGGGGAACGGGGGGGTCGGAGACCCGCCCCCCGGGCCGGCAGCCCCGTGGGGGGGGCGGGGGGGTCGGAGACCCGCCCCCCGGGCCGCAGCGCAGCCGAGCCAGGCCCCGCTCTCCGGGCGGGCTCACGGGACTCACCCACCGACGGCAGCGCGCGCAGCCGGAGGCACCGGCCGAGAGGAAACCCCAGCGCCCGAGAGACCGGCCGGTCGGCAGCTCGCGCAGCGCCGGCAGCCAATCAGGGCGGCCGTCACAGCATGCACGGGAGCCCATTGGCTGCCGATGAGCCAACGTGGCGGTCGGCCCGCCGCAGGGGGCGTGGCCGCCGGCTGGGCGGGGCTGCGGCTGTCCAATGGCCGTCAGGAGCCGGAAGCCGTATTGACGGTTGTCGTGACCCACCGCCCTGTCGCCTCTCGGGGCCGCGCTGCGGTGGCCGGCTCGGGGCATTACGGTCGGCCACGGCCCGGCCGGTGCCTGCTGGGCCGAGGGGGGCGGAGCCGAGGGGGCCGGGCTATGACGGGGAGGGGCGGGGCTGTGGTGGGGGGCGGGGCCGGGGGGCGGGGCTGTGGCGGGGGAGGGGGAGGGGCAGAGCGGGGGCGGGGCCAAGGTGGGGGCGGGGCTGTGGTGGGGGGAGGGGGCGGGGCCGTGGCGGGGGGAGGGGAGGGGGCGGGGGCAGGGGCATGATCCTGCAGGCGCTCAGTGCCGGTCGAGGGGCCCCTGAACTGCAGAGTCGTGCCGGAGGCAGGGATGGGTCGTGCTCTGGGCGACTCGTACCCAGGCCCTTGGCCAGACTTTGTTTCTGGGCCTGCTGGGAGAGAGAAGGGGCGTCTCCCTCAGAGCTGTGCTCCTCGCCCTCGCACCCTAGAAGACGCGGCCCGCCGCGCTTTCACACGCTGTCAGGATGGGGGGCGACCGGAAGGCTGGCTGGGAAAGACCCAGCGATCTCACGGGCAGGCTCTTGCTTCAGCTGCAGCAGACTCTCCTCCCGCCTGCCCTCTGCAGGCGGTGGGACAGCTGAGACCCTCACTGCTGAGGTCATGAACACGCCGGAGACAGGCCTAGGCCGGGTTTGCCCCTGGAAGGCCAAGACTACAGCGCTTTCAGAATTCCTTTGGGGGGGCGTTTCCCAGCAGGCAGAGAACGACTGCCACCAGCCAGGGGTGCATTTATACCAGCTCGCAAGAGGGCAAATGAAGACCCCATCATTTTGTGGGGATTCTGCTTTCCAATGTGCATTGCTTTGCATTTATTAACACGGAATGTCCTCTGCCATTTTGTTGCCCAGTCACCCAGTTTTGTGAGATCCCTTTGTAGCTCTTTGCAGTCTGCTTTGGACTTAACTACCTTGAGCAATTTTGTATAGTCTGTACATTTAGCCACCTCACTGTTTACCCCCTTTTCCAGATCATTTATGAATATATTGAACAGGACTGGTCCAAGTACAGACTCCTGGTTATCCTGCTCTCTGACGTGATCCGATGGTCTGTAGTAGATGCCAACTGGTACCCCATCTTGTGCTTTATCGGTTAGGACATTGATGCATCAGCATTCTAAATCATTTTCTTCTGAGTTATCAGTGACATGGGAAAAGGTTAAGTCATTTTTGACAGTGTGCCACTCGCCCTCCCCTTCTGCCCCCTCAATCCTTCCTAAACAGGTTATACCCATTGATTTTAACATTCCAGTCATGGGAATCATCCCACCGAGTCTCAGTAATACCAAGTAGATCAAATTTATGCTCATAAATGGGCAGTTCTAATTCAAATTCCTGTTTGGTACCCAGGCTCCTAGCATTGGTGTATACGCAAATAAGTAATTTTTTCTCTTCATGTCCTTCGGTTTCTTGATTTTGGGTTGAGTGCTCAAACCTTCCCCCTCTTTACTCTGCACTCATTACTCATGTCCCTTCAGTTTATCCTCTCCAGCTGAGTACGGTGCTTCTCAGGGCTGAGGCGCTCAGTGTGCTCCAACCAGAGCTGCAGAGAATGGGGGATAGTTTCCAGGCTGTGTGTTCCTGCACCTGTCCTCCTTGCACACAGCCCCTCCTTCCAGAGCCGCATCAGCCTCCTTTAATGACTCTGCACCCAGACTGCACGTGCCATTGGGAAACATTCACTGCAGTGATTTCCAACTATCAGCAGGATCTAAGAGGTCTGTCACGCTGGCAAATAAGCATTGCTTGGCCAGTTCCCATAGCCAGAGGTGCTGGCATTGTACCAGTATATGATGAACAAGTACAACCAGTGCATATGCAAACTTGTTCCAAGTAGATACATTCACAATGATGGTGGCAACACCCAGGAAGGCTTTATACATGGACTCAGTCTCACAAGAGCGGCAGAGTGCGTGGGGAGCCATGTTTGTCTCCCAGAGCATTCCATACAAAGTGACACGGTTTCAAAACTAAGGTTTTCATAACTGCCAGCTAGCCATGACTTGGGTTCTGGGAGTCAAGTCGGGCTCGCTTCTTCCCCTTTGTTGTCATCAGTAAGCAAGGTAATGGAGGACAAATCAGGCGCTGAGATGAAACCCCACTGACTCCAAATTACCAGTGATGATCATGGTTTACACAGACAACTGATTTGAGCTTAGTAAGCAACTGTGCATCAGCAGCACGCAGCAGAAGAGAATCCAGCTCACTCTTTCTGAACTGCGTTGACTCCGCGGCACTAACAAAAGCTAATAGATGTGATCATGGCTAGTCACTATATTAGAAGAGACGTGACTGCCTACGCAGGGACAGAACTGAGAGTATGAACGTAGCAGTTACAGAGATGCTTTTCACATCAGGAGTCACACTGGAAGAGTCAGCTGACCATTCACACTCCCCTGAACTCAGGTGAGGATTAGGAATCCTGAAAACATCACCAGTTGAGACAAACTTAACTGACAGTATTTGGGAAACAATTCAGGCTAAGCCAGGAACTCTGTCGTGCCAGAGGAATTCAGCTGACATAGGACCGGGGTGGAAGGGAAGGCTTTCTGACAAGTCCTAGGATATTTTTTATTTAAATATCAATTATCAAAATTGATAGAGCTGGTCCAGCTTTCCCTTTTACTTCCCAACACAGCAACACAAACATTTGCAGCATATATTTTAAGATACTTATTTGCTTTATCATCTCTCAGCAATTAGGCATAGTCAACGCACGTAAAACTCTGGGGTATCTTTTTCAAAGGTCTAGTCTATACTGCAAAGTTAGGTCGGCTTCGCAACGTTACTCAGGACTGTGAAAAATTCCACACCCAGTGAAACGTAGTAAAGCCAACCTAAGCCTTGGTGTAGACACTGCTAGGTCGTTTTCCGTCGATCTAACTACTGCCTCTCAGAGAGATGGATTCATAACAGTGAAGGAAGAACCCTTTCTGTTGTGTTTACACGACAACGGCACAGCTGCAGCACTGCAATTGTGTCACTGTAGCATTTCTAGTGCAGACATGGCAAGTCTTCAATGCAAAGTAAATGCAGAGTAAGCAGCATTTTTGTGTAGTGATAAATGTTGACAATACAATTTAAGCCACTCAAAATTTATTATATACATAGGAAGGTTACATTGGTACATAGTTGAAAGCATGATCTCAAAAACAGTGCCAAGGTTTCTTGATTCCATTTTACAGTCTTACAACACTAACTGCAAATGCAGAGCAGATCAACCACAGCATTACCAGCGAGCCATTGCTGAGAGCACAAGGCATGTGGACTGGTTAATTTCATTTCAGTCTGTTTCAAAAATAATCCCAAAGGAGCTCCATGGTCTGCAGGAAGAGTTTACCAGCAAGAACAGCCTTCGCGCACACCCTCCCTTTCCTTTTTTTAAAACCCTCATTTTCCAGTTTTTATCAGCAGATCTTTAACTTAAAAGATAAACCCAAATTTACTACTGGTATTTTAAGGAGAAATGAAAAGCTTTACTTTAAAAAGAGAGACTGGGAAATATGTGGGGACTTGGGAGCAGGGGGGTGAATGCTTGGGAAGCAGGGAGAATTTTAAATACAAACATTTAAATAGGCAACTCCTTTCCGATGGGTGGGCAAGAAGGAGAAGCTGCTCATTGCTAAACCTGTCGGTAACCATGTTTCAGAATATCTGATCAATCTAAGACTGAAACAATCTGGCTTTCTTACATGAACAAACCCTTCCATTAGAATACTCTCATTAAACACACTCTCCCATGAGTTCACTGCAGATAATACTTTTATGTTAAAATAAAAACGATGCAACTTTCCAAACAAGAACTTCATGAGAAGCTGAGAAACAGCAGCTGCTAAAGAATTCCTCAATGCCCCTGTGCTACTGAAAAACAAAATCGCATGTGCTCGGTTCTCAGCAGTACACTATTCCA